ACATGATGTCATTATCGTCCCTATCGTATTGTGGTCTACTCAACATGATGTCATTATTCGATGACGAGGAACCCACTTTGAGACTAATAATGGCTGGAGACGGCTTAAATGGGTAATGAAGAAAAACTTTAATATAAGTTTAACATGACAGCAAATGTACAACGTTTCGACAAGGTTTTGTCCTGATGATGACAAAACCTTGTCGAAACGTTGTACATTTGCTGCCATGTTAAGCTTATATTAAAGTTTTTCTTCATTACCCATTTAAGCCGTCTCCAGCCATTATTAGTCTCAAAGTGGGTTCCTCGTCATCGAATTTGTCTATGATGAAGCAATCATTACGTTTCCCAACAAGGTTGCAATGCTATTTTTATTAATAATGAAACTATAAAATAATAAATTTTAGTTATGAACAATAAAAAATAAATTACATATTATTATAGATATAGGAGGGAAAGGCATCAGTACAGTTGAGCTACGAAAATTGTAAAACTCCATTAGCGAGTGCAAGAAAGTAAGTTAAGCCTATTTTGGAATGGTTAATGTAATGATGTTTTTCATTACCTTATCGATACAGATGTCTTACCGAAGCATTGGAAAACGCAGCAATAGGCCTTGCGAGAAATTCTGTCATAAACATATATAACGTTAAGAAAAGACTGTCGTTATTTTTGCCAGTTTTGTTCTCCCCCCAGTGGCACAGCGGTAAGTTTGCGGACTTTTAACACTAGAAACTGGGTTTCGATACCCGTAGTAGGCACAGCACAGATACCTCATTGTATAGCTGTGTGCTTAACTACAAACAAACAATTATTTTATTTGTCATAAAAGTGTTCAGTGACTATTTTATATAATATTGGTATTCTTCACTTTGAATAAGAAAACGCTAACTAGAATTAATGAACTTATACTTCTTCGTGAAATAAACTCCTTGTCGAACATTTATATATTTCTATACATTTATTTGAAAAATAGTTTATATATCCCGTATATCTTTTGTTCGTTAAGCACTAAACTGCACAATGCGCTGTGCCTACCACAGCTATAGAAACTCGGTTTTTATCGTCATAAACACAGAGACTAGCCGCTGAACTACGGAGGTGGTGGTGAGGAGGGTTCTGCATATACATATATATGATTGTAATATGGCGTCGTTTAGCATCATCATTAAGAAGTATTTTAAAGCGAAGGTTGGTGAGATTTCAGTTTGAGTCAAAATCTTTGGCAAGTTAAGTATTCAAGTAGATATTGTTTGTAAGACCACATAATCTTCTTGTAAAGAAAACAGGAAACTGACATTCATAGAAATGCTGGAACAGAAACTTAGAGTTACTAAATACTGCCTTAAACTAATTTTTTTATAATTCTATCCATAGATACACTTAAAATCCAGTGTTCAGTATGCAGGTTATTAGCAAATCTGGTGAACATTTTGTCTAGATTCTCGCTAACCTTGGTTTGATCCTTTTGAAATACGTATGGTAGTTTTGTTCAGATTTTCATATTAGTAATAAATTATTATAGAACAACACTCTTGAAATTCAGTGTGCGTTTTTATATCCTCAAATTCATTACACTGACACGAACAGATGAATAGGAAATATTCTTAAAGCAAAAAAGAAAAAACACACATAAGAGTCGTCAGTGCTGTTAACATTTCAAATGTTGAATAAACATTAAAAAATTGATTCATCTTCAACAATAACTGTTCATAAGCCACTATACGGAGTTTTATAAATATTGCTATGATAGTTAGAAAGAAACAGTTCAGACAGATTTCTAATGTTAATGTTTTTAACTAGTTGATATATATCTATTAACGAACCTATAAGTAATTTTTAACACTTGCTTTAATTTAGAAACAGTTTCCAATTTGTTTTAACATTATTTCCCAAAAAGGGGGGTCAAAGGCCGTCTGGAGAGGTCACCTGTTTTAATAGTTCGCCTACAATACAGTAATGTATCGTCTGTCTATCAGTCATTAGACACTAAATGACGTCATATCAAGGACATTTAACGTTGCAATTTGTACTGTCATGACATCACTAAAACTTGAGCATGCAAAGAATCACGAGGAGAATTACGCACTCTGTACGTTACAATACAGCATGACATATAAACTTCAGAAGCAAGAAATAATAATATTTGTTTGTAATTAAGCACAAATCTACACAATGGGCTATCTGTGCTCTACCCACCACGGGTATCGAAACCCGGATTCTATCGTTATAAGTCCACAGACATACCGCTGTGCCACTGGGGGGACAATAATATTTGTTACTCTTAATTTTGGTTTTAATTATTCTAGAAACAGAACACTTTCGGGGACACTGCGGAAGTACATCTAGTTTTAAACAGTTTTCCGATGATTTTTAGTTTAATCACTTATTCATGTCTATATTTTTGTTCTTCTACGATTAAAATAATCGTTAATAAAACTAAAAATAATATTTACTTCCATTTACAGTTAAGAGGCAGCTTGAAGAATCAACACTGGCTTCGTTTGTTTGTTTGTTTTGAATTTCGCGCAAAGCTACATGAGGGCTATCTGCGCTAGCCGTCCCTAATTTAGCAGTGTAAGACTAGAGGGAAGGCAGCTAGTCATCACCAACTCTTGGGCTACTCTTTTACCAACGAATAGTGGGATTGACCGTCACATTATAACGCCCCCACGGCTGAAAGGGCGAGCATGTTTGGTGTGATGGGGATTCGAACCCGCAAATTGCGAGTCGAGTGCCATAACCACCTGGCCATGCCGGGCCTGCTTCGTTTGAACGATAGCTTAATGTTTCTATTTTGTTTTATAATGGATTCGAAAACGAGTATAGCTCTGCAATAGGTAATTGCTGTTAACTACTTTTAAATTAGTACGATTTATCAGTAAGTTCTGATGATTTTACTTTTTGTTGTTGGTATGTTTGAGCTGTTTTGTAATATATGTCTCTTTGAAGTTTTTAAAGCACTAGTTACTGTAATCTCATGTTGACTGATGAACGGAAATAATATATATATAAAGCACCAACATTTGAGGTAACCGTCCTTTCTTCGGATTATGAACTTAAGAAAATTTGGGGGTGGATGCTGTG